CAGTGGCATGATCTCTGCTCATTGCAACCTCCGCCTCCCACATTCAAACAATTCTCCTGCCTTAGCCTCCCATGTAGCTGGGATTACAGGTGCCCGCCACCATGCCTGGCTAATTCTTGTATTTTTTAAGTAGAGACAAGGTTTCACAATGTTGGCCAGGCTGGTCTCTAACTGCTCACCTCAAGTGATCCCCTGCCATTGGCCTCCCATAGTGCTGGGATTACAGGCTTGAGCCACCATGCCTGGCAATTTTCTTCAGTTTTACAGGTGAGATTCCAAGGGTCATTCATCAAATAAATAGCAGGCAAGATTTGAATCCTGCTCTGTTGGGATTCAAAGCTGGTGACACAGCCTAGAGGCCCCTGCAGAGGAGAAGAGTAGGATTCACTCTACACCAGTAACAACCTGGTGCTTCCTCCCACTTCTGCCTGCACCCTAGCTATGCCACTGCTGCCAGGGCCACTTTTGGTGCATCAGCCTCTGGGTCTCCTGAGTGCCAAAGGGCCCTACTAAACATCCTGACCTATGCACTCCATGAGGCCAGCACCCACTTCTTCCATCTTCCAGGTACATTTGTCTCCTGCAGACTTTCAGGGCTGCTGGGGGTCCTGGCCATCTGTGGAAGGCATGATAGGAAGAATATGAGCCTTGGAGTCAGGTCTGGATTCAAATCCCAGTTCTCCACTTATAGCTTTGTTTCCTTGAGCAAGTCATCTAACCCCTCTGAGCCTCAGTTGACACATCTGTAAAATGAGTACAGTGATGTGATGATGGCTGAGATGATGTGTGAGCACTGTGGAGTCCTGTGCCCGTATGAGGCATGATTATATCTGTCTATGATTGTTACAAGCTGGGGGCTCCCCAGTGGTATGCATGACCAAGCCCGGTGGGACATCTCCTTCTTGGAGGCAGTTTCTTCTGACTCAGCCTAAGTCAGTGGCCTCATAGTTTAATTTCATGTTTCTTCAAGTTCTAATATTACCCCAAATTGCTGTTGTCTTGCAGTTTATGACCCGCAATGGGAACCTCCGTGTGAAGGCCAAGTTCGAAGCCAGAGTCCCAGCTTTCTACTACATCCCCCAGGCCAATGACTGCCTGTGAGTGAATGATTCCTTAGGGACTGGGTGAGGGGGTTGTCCTGGTTCCACCTCCTCCCCCTCTCCATCTTTGGTGCCTTTGTCTGTGGTGGTCACTGCGATGGGCCTGGTGTGCAGGTAGATCCAGGAAAGCACTGGATATCATCACAGAGAGCACATGGGAGGACTGGTGTAAGCCTCTTTCCGCTTCTGTTGCTTAAGTGTGCCTCTTCCTTTCTCTGGGCCTCAGTTTCCACAGCCCGGAAATGGAGGATTTTTCTCTATGATCTCTGCCTCTCTATGATCTCTATGATTTTTCTCTGTGATATTCTTGTAGCTTACAGATGGTGGATAACTTGATAGAGGGGTTAAACACTGGTATCTTACTAGACCAACTGTGATTCAGCTACTTCCTTTAGAGAAATATGTCTAGGGTTCTGCCACCTGAGCTCAGGTTGGTTCTAAGCAACTTGCCTGAGCTGCAGATCTCTAAATAAGAACCATAAAAATAAGAATAACAGCTAGGCACAATGGCTGGTCCCTGTAATGCCAGCACTTTGGGAGGCTGAAGTGGGAGGATCACTTGAAGACAGGAGTTCAATGCCAGCCTGAGCAACATAACAAGACCCTGTCTCTATAAAAAATTAAATTAAATTAACTTAGCCAGGGCATAGTGGCCCATGCTTGTAGTCTGAGCTACTAGGAAGGCTGAGGTAGGAGAATCACTTGAGTCAGATTGCAGTGACCTAGGATTCCATGTGTCACTGCACTCTAGTATGTGACAGACTGAGACCTTGCCACACACACTATATATATATATATATATATACATATATATATATACACACATATATACATATATATACACACACATATATACATATATATATATATATATATATATATATATATATATATATATATTTTTTTTTTTTTTTTTGTGGCAAGGTCTCACTCTGTCACTCCTGGTAACCAGTAGTTACCATATATATCCACACATGTATATGGTAACTACTGGCTGGGCGTGGTGGCTTATGCCTGTAATCCTATCACTTTGGGAGGCTGAGGCAGGTGGATCACTCTAGGTCAGGAGTTCAAGACCAACCTGGCCAACATAGTGAATCTCTGTCTCTACTAAACATGAAAAATTAGCCAGGTGTGGTGGCTTATGCCTGTAGTCCCAGCTACTCGGGAGGCTGGGGCACGAGAATTGCTTGAACCCGAAGGCCAAGGGTGCACTGAGCCAAGATTGTGCCACTGCACTCCAGCCTTGGTGACAGAATGAGACTCTGTCTCCAAAAAAAAAAAAGAAAAAAAAGTAGCTACTAATATTATTGAGCTTTGCTCAAGTACTAGGCCCTGTGCAAAATGCTTATGTGCATGTATCTGTTTAATTCTCTCAACAACCCTGCAAGTACTGCTGTTATCCCTATGCTACAGATGAAAAATCTGAGGTTTGTGGAGGCAGAACTGGTCTAGCCTGTCTGACACCAGGGCCTGGGTGCCTGTATCATGGCAATGGGAGAATTCAGTGTAAGAGTGGGGCTTTGAAGCAGCAGGAGGGTTCAGGTCCCCTGGAGGTGAGGGTTAGTGTGATACTGGTACCTAGTGGCCCTGGACCTTAGCAGACCTGACTGCCTGAGCTGCAACTCCTTCCCAGGTACTTAGACTCGCCATCCAGGCTGCTAGAAAATGTCTTGTGTAAATGCGGAGAAAGTATCCCGTTAGGCTGACACAGCCATATGGGGTGTGCCTGGCAAACAGAAAGCAGTTGCATTTCAGCCGCTAAGCCTCAGCAAGGTGCTTCTGGGCAGTGCACAGACTATATAACCGTACCTAGTGGTCCTGGAATTTCTCAGTGCTTAGACAATTAAGGGCTACTCATGGTCTGTGGAGTGGCTGGGGAAGCACAGCTTTCTGCTTGGAAGACCTCTCTTTTCTTTCTCAACTCCACCATCATCTAGCTGTGAGGACGTGGACAAGTGAGCAAATCTCTCTGTCAGCATTCTCATCTCTGAAATGTGGACAAGGATGCCCACGTCATCACGTAGTTGTAGAGATTACATGAGATAACTTAGGTAGAACCTTTCACATGCCACCCGACGCACTGCTTTGAATCCATTTCACCGTGTCTACTTCAGAATGCTACCTGTCCGTGGCTAGTTGTGCTGGCTCAACGTCAGAGGGCCTGTCTTATCCTGGCTAGCTGCTGCCACTCTGCCCTTTGCTCTAAGTGCTCTGTAAGTAGCTGCTCTGTGCTAGGCTTCCTGCTGGCACTACACAGACATTGCTTGCCATGACGCCAGCAGCAGCCCTGCACTTTAGCCCTTTTTAGCTGAGTACTAATGACCACCTCCAGGACCAAGACTAGTGGCCCTTGGTCTCCACTCGTTCTCCCAGCTCTGATCCTGGGTCCCAGGCTTTCCACCTTCATGGTGGGCCAGGTGATTCTCCTCAATGATCTGTGGGCTGTGCACTAGGAAGGACTCTCTCTCTCTCTCTGTTTTTTAAAATATAGAGACGAGGTTTCACTGTGTCACCCAGGCTGGAGTTCAATGGTACAATCATGGCTCACTGCAGCCCTGACCTCAGCTCAAGTGATCCTCCCACCTCAGCCTCCCAAGTAGCTGGGACTACAGGTGTGTGCCATCATGCGCGGTTAATTTTTGTTAACCTAGTAATTTTGTACTTAAAAAAATTTTTTTTTGTAGAGATGAGGTTTTGTCATGTTGCCCAGGCTGCTCTCAAACTCTTGAGCTGAGCTCAAGCCATCTGCCTGTTTTAGCCTGTCTTGGCCTCCCAAAGTGCTGGGATTATAGGCATGAGTTACCATGCCCAGCCTGGACTCTTGATTGTAAGTGACAGAAACCCTATTTATTTATTTATTTTTGAGACAGAGTCTTGCTTTTTCACCCAGGCTGGAATTCAGGGGCACAATCTCAGCTCACTGCAACCTCTGCCTCCCGGGTTCAAGCAATTCTCCTCTTTCAGCCTCCCAAGTAGCTGGGATTACAGGCACATGCCACCATGCTTAGCTAATTTTTGCATTTTTGGTAGAGATGGAGTTTCACTTTGTTGGCCAGGCTGATCTCAAACTCCTGGCCTCAAGTGATTTGCCTGCCTTGGCCTCCCAAAGTCCTGGGATTACACGTGTGAACCACTGCGCCTGGCCAGAAACCCAATTTAAACCAGCCTAGGAAAAAGAGGATTTGATGGGTTCTGGGGATCAGACTCCCAGAAGGACAGTGGTGGAGCCGGCCTCAGGCAGGACCAAGCCAGGAGCTCAAACACCATCGGGTCTCTCACACTCTCTGGCTCTCTTCTCTCTTTCCCTCAGCCAGCCTTCCTTCACACGGCTGGCAGCAAGGCAGCTGTGCCAGGCTCCACCTTCCAGCATAGCTCTGGAGAAAGCTCCATCAATCTCTCCTTCACTTTTGATCCTCTTGGTCCACACAGCCCAGAGCAGCAAAGAGCTCTGAAGGACCAGGTTGGGCCAGATGCCCAGCTCTAGGTCATTCCTGTGGCTATGGGGTAAGGTCATATATACCTTGGAACCTGGAAAAGGTGAGCAGGAACCAAACAATTAAAATAACGTCACTCTCAGCTGCGTGGTTTTTCTGCAGGACTCAAGGATGACAATCTCTGATTGAGGTCACATTAAACACCTACTATGGGCCGAGCAGGTGCTGGGTCCTTTATGTATGTTTAAACCTCTTATATTTTTTTGTTTTGTTTTTATTTTTGTGGAGATGAAGCCTGAGTATAACAATAGTGGCACATTCCCCAAATTCAGAGGAGTTGGGTAACTTGCTCTTGGTCACAGGGTGGATAAATGACAGAGTGAGACCGGGTCCCACGTGGTCAGATCCCCAGATGACTGCCCTGTTCAGTGTAGCATCCCTAGATTTCATGTGCAGGCATAGGAAGAGGCTCCTGGACTCTCCTGCCTGAGCTCATGAACACGCAGTGGGCGTGGGCAATGCAGACGGTCCAGAGGAGCCAGTACCTGTCTCATTGACCTAGGGAGCCGAGACTGGGATTGGAATAGCTCAGTGATTCTCAGACCACCAGGAGAAATATCTCCTCCAGAGGGCATTTGGCATTGCCTGAAGACATTTTTGGGTGCCACACTAGGGTGGGGGTGCTACTGACATCTCATGGGTAGAGGCCAGAAATGCTGCTAAACATTCTATGGAGCATAGGGGAAAACCCAGAGGACAACACAACAAGGGATTATCCAACCCCAAATGTTAACAGCCCTGAGGCTGAGGAATCCTAGGTAGCTGGAACAGGCAGTGAGGCACTGCTGTGATGTTCCCACTCTCAACTGCAGGGACTTGGAAAGTCACTGTGGGAAAAGAATGCATCAGTCCAGGCTTGGTGGTAATCCCTGCACTTTGGGAGGCTGAGGCAGAAGGCTCGCTTGAGCCCTGGAGTTTGAGATCAGCTTAGGCAATATAGGGAGACCCCGTCTCCACAAAAATTTAAAAATTAGCCGGGCATGGTGGCACATGCCTATGGTCTCAGCTACTTAAGAGGCTGAGGTCAGAGGATCACCTGGTCTAGGAGGTCTAGGCTGCAGTGAACCTTGGTCACACCACGGCACTCTAGCCTGGGCAACAGAGTGAGACCTTGTCTCAAAGAAAGAGAAAATGCATCAAACGCACTTGACCACTGGTTCTCTTTTTTAGGGTCTTAAAGGAACAATGGATTCGAGCTAAGTATGAGAGACGGGAATTTATGGCTGATGGGGAAGCCATCTCACTACCAGGTAAAGTTATTTCCATCATCTTTGGAAATCTATGTTCTAATGAGCTCTAGAAAAACCAAGTGCCTGAATATTAGGAGCAAGATCCATCCAAGAGATGACTGCTGTTCTCACTGTGGCTACAGAGGCCAAGGTGTGGGTTCTTCTGACTAAAATAACGACATATCGGCTGGTGGATCTTTATGCTCTGAGCAGCAGAGAAGCATATTTGTCTCAGGTCCTTGAAGGGTCACAAGCATGTACAGACTCTTTTTTTTTGAGACAGGGTCTCACTCTGTTGTCCAGCCTGGAGTGCAGTGGCACAATCACAGCTCACTGCAGCCTCAATCTCCTGGGCTCACGTGATTCTCCACCTCAGCCTCCCAAGTAGCTGGGAATACAGGCACACGCCACCACACCCGACTAATTTTTGTGTTTTTATTTTGTAGAGATGGGGTTTCACCATGTTGCCCAGGGTGGTCTTGAACTCCTGAGTTCAAACATTTCTGCTTTGGCCTCCCAAAGTGTTGAGATTACAGGTGTGAGCCACTGTGCACGGTGAGACTTCTTTTTTTTTTTTTTTTTTTNTCTGTGAAAATGTGGATCATGATTTTGGTGCACATTTCAGTCCTAAAAAAAATCTACTCGTCGTGTGTGTGTGTGTGTGTGTGTGTGTGTTTTTAAGACAGAGTCTTGGGCCGGGCGCGGTGGCTCACACCTGTAATCCCAGCACTTTGGGAGGCCGAGGCGGGTGGATCACCTGAGGTTGTGAGTTCGAGTTCGAGACAGTCTGGCTACATCGCCCGAGCTGGAGTGCAATGGCGCGATCTTGGCTCACTGCAACCTCCGCCTCCTGGGGTAGTGGGGATTACAGGTGCACGCTGCCACGCCGGGTTAATTTTTTGTATTTATAGTAGAGACAGGGTTTCACTGTGTTCCCCAGGCTGGTCTCGAACTCCTGAGCTCAGGCAATCCACCCGCCTCGGCCTCCCAAAGTGCTAGGATTACAGGCGTGAGCCACCGTGCCTGGCCAGCCAGACTCTTAATATAAATTGCAGGAAGACTCCTCCACTGGGCAGGTCAATTAGGAAAAGATATCCCTGGCCAGGCTTGGTGGCTCACATCTGTACTCCCAGAACTTTGGGAGGCTGAGGCGGGCATTTCACGGGGTCAGGAGTTAGACCAGCCTGACCAACATAGTGAAACCCAGTCTCTACTAATAATACAAAAATTAGCCAGGTGTGGTGTTGCGCACCTATAATTCGAGCTTCTCGGGAGGCTGAGGTAGAAGAATCACTTAAACCCAGGAGGCGGAGGTTGCAGTGAGCCGAGACCACACCCCTGCACTCCAGCCTGGGTGACAAAAGCGAGATTTTGTACCCCCCCACCCCAAAAAAGATCTCCCTGCTCCTGGTGAATGTAGTTCCTGGTGCAGTTCAAGGCTTGGTGAGGAGCACGGGCATAAATTCGACCTTCCTTTTGACCATTGTGCAGGGTACAACCTCTTCTGTGGCTCTGGACCTGTGGCAGTTTCACCCCCACTGTCCTGAGTCCAAGCTGACTCTGACCCAGACAGAAAGGTATACAAAACCACTCTTAGAGGGCCAGAGGCAGTGCTCAGCTCTCCTGGCTACCAGAACTACAAGTTTCTATTCTATTCATTTATTTATTGAGTCAGGGTCTCACTCAATTACCCAGGCTGGAGTGCAGTCACATGATCTCAGCTCACTGCAACCTCCGCTACCCAGGTTCAAGTGATTCTCATGCCTCAGTCTCCCGAGTAGCTGTGATTACAGGCATGTACCACCATACCTGGCTAATTTTTGTATTTTTAGTAGAGACGGGGTTTCGACATGTTGGCCAGGCTGACCTTGAACACCTGACCTCAAGTGATCTGTCGGCCTTGGCCTCCCAAAGTGTTGAGATTACAGGCGTGAGCCGTTGCACCTGGCCCATAAGTTATTCCTCAAACGAGCAGATCCCTAGAGGGTGCTCATTACTTCTAAAGTTTCATTAGGTTAATGCTATCATGAAGTTGGGCAGGACCATATGTATTTAGTTGAGGTGTCTTTCAGAATCAGTCCAGTTCCTCAGGACTTTGCCTTCTTAAGACATATTCTAGGCACTGGGATGCAGCAGGGAACTAAACAAAACCCTAATTCTTAAGGGTCCTCTTATGAGATGGCCTGATACCACAGAAGGTCAAGGAAGAAAGGTTTTAGGCAGTAGGAAGTGACCTGAAGTGAGAAGACATCAAAAAATTTGCCCAGATGGGATCCTTGTGTCCTGCAGCTGAAATAGGGATGTTTGAGTGGGGATACTTCGGCAGCAGATGGAAGGCTCATTTCCCCACTTGAGAACCTCTGAGATTCCTGAGCTGCTTGTGCATCTTAAGGTCACAGGTGTTCACTCTTTGTCATCCTTGGTGCTTAAGGTAACCGAGAAGGATTCCTGTGGAAGCGAGGAAAGAACAACTCACAGTTTCTGAGAAGGAGGTTTGTACTTCTGGCAAGAGAAGGTCTCCTGAAGTACTACACAAAGGAAGAGGTAAGATGCCAGGCCAACAAGAGCGGGTCCCTCTGTGGGCACTCTCTCCCCACTAATGTCTTCATTCAGTCAGCAGTGCCTTGTCTTGTGGATAATCTCAGCCCCTGAGAGGCAGGCACATTTGCCTACTTTTTCTTGGTTGAACAATCAACCCAGTCCACTAAAAATCATATTTTCTGTCCACCTAGAATCAGCAGACAGGTCCATGTTTAAGCCTTTGATGACCACTTGGTTTTACTTCGTATATTCATTCATTTAAGAAACATTTATTGAGGCCAGGCATGGTGGCTCACACCTGTAATCCCAACACTCTGGGAGGCCAAGGTGGGTGGATCACGAGGTCAGGAGTTTGAGAACAGCCTGGCCAACATGGTGAAACCCTGTCTCTACTAAAAATACAATTAGCTAGGCATGGTGGCAGGTGCCTGTAATCCTAGCTACTCAGAAGGCTGAGGCAAGAGAATCACGTGAACCAGGGAGGAGGAGGTTGCAGTGAGCTGAGACCGTGCCAGTGCTCTCCAGCCTGGGCAACAGAGCAAGACTCCGTCTCAAAAAAAAAAAAATTTATTGAGTACCTACTGTATGCTAGACAGTATTCTAGGTGCTGGGGATACAGCAGGGAACTAAACAAAACTCTTGTTCCCAGGGAGCTTTCGGTTTAGTGAAAGGAAATAGCTCTGTAATCAAAATATCAATATATAATATACCAGCAGGCAATAGTTTTATAAAGTGAAATCGAAGAGGCTGCGCACGGTGGCTCACAACTATAATTCCAGCACTTTAGTAAGAGGCCGAGGCTTGAGTTCAGGAGTTTGAGATCAGCCTGGGCAACATGGTAAAACCCCATCTCTACAAAAAATACAAAAATTAGCTGGGCCACGCACATACACCTTTGTACGGTGGCACATGCCTGTAGTCCCAGCTACTAGGGCGTCTGAGGTGGGGAATTGCTTGAGCACAGGAGGTCCAGGCTGCATTGAGC